TTAGTGAGTTATGAGGTGAAGTATCCCAAGGGAAAAGTGGTAATTTTAGACTTTGGTGCCTTAATCAAAATTTAGGATTAACCAAGGATAAATGGGTAAATTTGAATATAATAAACATGTTTGGATGATTGAAATACAATGGGATTGTAAGGTAGAAACTCACCCACCACCTTTGCACAACATCAATAGATAATAATCTCCCCCAATCTTCATGACTTGGAAGTCAACTAATATCAAAAGTTTCTTAAGTGAGAGGCTTAAGCTAAAAGGATGATGATTTACTTTCCTTAAGCCCAAAATTGATGATAATGTGATCTTTAAATGAAAATACATGGCACTTAAACTAAAATATTAACCTTCACCAAATTCCCCATTATGATTTCTATGGGCTTGGTAGTGAGCTAGGCTCGATATCTAAGCTCAATTTATTTGATTTAGAAGATAATTGGGCAGACAATCAATATCCTTAAACACTCCATGTCCAACTTGCACCCACACAAACTCTTGAGTGAAACATCAATTGACTAATTGAGTATCCTATCCTCAGGATAATTAAATTGTGAAGTTCCACTAAGTAACGGGGAAGTCACACTCAACCTCGAATGATTATTGGAACATTATGATAAGATCAAAATGAACTTGGGATATTTCAAGAGATATTCAAAGTGATCTAGGGTCACACCTTGAACATTTTGAAATATATTAGATATTCTAAAGGACAAATTGGACTTGACATATTTTGTTCTATAATTATCCATTAGGATCTTTCGGGATTCAACTAAATCATAACTTGGAGTTTGGTAGTTAAACCTTCATCTACTCAAGCAATTTAAATTCCTTGCAATATCATCTACATATCTTGCAAGTACTGATCTTTCACGTGGTGGAACTAGAAGACTCGCCAGGTAGACTTTTGTAGTTTACAATACCGTTTTCTCTTTTACTTTCCGCACTATACTTTCATGCTTATAGAACTTTTATGTTAAACACGATGTCACCCTGCATGAAAACCTAAAACTGCTAGGATAGCCACAGAACCAAAACTAAAACTAAAATTAACCAAGTTAAAATTGCTAGGATAGCCACAAAATTAAAATATAAGACAACTCAAAATTTAATCACAAACATCACAAACAATAATTGCGATTAAATTAAGATGTCTTTATCCGATGATCAGGAATCCCTCGGAGGAGGTAACCTACGGTTGCTAATGAGGCTTCCCACAGTCTAAATGAAAGTATGGAACTCATTAAGTCGAGTTTAGTAAATTGATGCGGATTAAATAAATCTGATAGAAAATTGTGGTACCGGAATGAGGGAACCACAGGATCCTAATCGGTGTCGCTCTAATCAACTTTAATATGTCCCATAACATTTAATGACCATAACCATAGGGAAATCTGATTTGACATCATAACCCGACACACTAAAAAACTTAAACTCATCACGAAGAGGAGCTTGGAGCTTGCACGGTGAGCAGAACGACCATTTTCAAACAACAAAACATGTCTACATAAGCTAAACCATTCCTTCCTTAGAATTAAACAACCAACACATAGGGCTTTGAGGTGGTTTGCTTATGAAACATTAATCCTCAACTTATTTTTAGTACTTTGTAAGTTTCTGCTATACAATATAAGCCCTAACTCATCTTAGGATTTCGAGGTCGTCGTTAGTCACGACTTAAATCCTCACATCTTCTAGGCTATTTATGCAATCATTCCACACAAACGTAAGCTCTAAATAAAAAAAAATTGACAAGATGAAACACTTATTTAATTTTTTATCAAAACTAAAGCAAAACAATATGATAGACTGGGAAGTCACCGAGGTTCTCCTCCAGATCTGTGACATCCCCTAATTCTTCCTCCTTTGGATTTCCTTTGGACTCCTTTGGATTCTACAATAAATGTTCCAAACTTGAACCATCCCTTTTCATACCTCTTTGTCTGATTTTGTTGAAATGCCCTATCCTTTTGACCTCTTTGAAGATAATATTTTCCTGATTTTTATCGAGATTTTTCTTCGGTGACTTCAGTCATTTAAGTTGTAATTAACTATAGGGGCTTGCCCTTATTAGAAGCTTGTTCGAACCCAGCTTAACATAAACTCTACTTAATTCTTCGTATTAAATTGGGGAACTTGTTGGCAAATAAAATGGTTCCACAGACCAAACGGATTTCATATATTTCTTAGTTTATTTGATCAAGCCTATTACTTGAGTCTTATATTTATTCTTCGGGAAAGATATAGGGTTTTAGGTATACTGCTCTTTCATTTGAACTATGAAAAATATGGGGTCAACAAGACTCTAAAGGAGTCCTAGATATCGATCCCACTGGGAAGCTAAAAATATTTTTAAGCTAGCTATTAATATTCTATTCTTAAATTAAAATAAAAATAAAAACAAAGTAAAGTGCAAAGTTTGCACTTAAACTACTCAAGTCAAATGCTACTAAATATGCAGATGTACTACTACAGCAGTTAAGTTCAACTAGATGCTAAACTTTCAAAAGTAAAATTGCTAAAATAAAATAAAGGTTTTTGTTGACAAAATGTTCAAGTATCAGAAAACACCCTTCCCCTTTACAATGAAAATATAGCTTGTGAAAAAATTAAAATCAGTTGAAAAATATATTTAAAAAATATTTTGTGCCAATTAGGAGCAATCTTATTCTTTACCCTCTTCAGAGTGCTATAAAGAACATTGACTAATCTACAGTTTGGTCCTTAATTCTGTGGTTAGGCTGCGAGGAAACCTGCTGTCACTCGAGAGCTCCCACTACTCCCTCACCTGAGGGCTAACATGCTCGCATTAGTTTCTAATCAACTGAACTAAATTGGGGATTCTAATCTATCACCTTAAAATCTTCTAATTTTAAATCCAATGAAGTGTATTTCCCTATTTATTTGCACCCAATCCCATTAGATCAAACATGATTCTCCCTTTATTGTAGAAAATATATCCACTTTTTAGAACATATTTTCTCAACACATTTTAACAATTGAATTGTCCAGATCAAAAAGTAAATGAAGATCGGAGTTCAAATCATCACAAATCATCAACATTTAAAACCGTAAAAAATAAAATCAATTCTTCACAATACCATTTCTTCAAAGTAGGGAGAAGATCAAAGAAGACTACTCAGAATTTATGAGAAGGATACGATAAAAAACAAACTTCATATATAAAAAAATAAGTTTACAAAGAAAAGAAATGAAAAATACAACTTATCTCACAATCCTTCCGAAGCAAATCCTTAGAAGTTCTCTCCAAGTCTTTCTCCCTTTACAAGCACTCTCAACTCTCTCTTGAAAGTGTAATGAAGAAGAAATCTCTCACCTTCCCTCTCCTCTACAACCCTAGATAATAATCTCTAAGCCCTTGACTTTCTCTCTCTATTTCTCCCTCTTAGTTCTCACGCCACCTATCTTTTTTAGGCTCTGATAGAAGAGCTATAGGTTCTAGAAAATCTTCTCAAAGTTGATTCTATTTTATGCTGCCTCCTCTGAAAAGAATTTCAATTTCCCTCCAAAATTCAAAAGTCAAACTATTGAATTCAGAAGATGTCCCTCTTTCGTCCAAGAGTCAAATCTCATCAAATTAGAACCTTCCAAAATGTCTAGATGCATTGAATCATTCTATGGGGTGTTTAGAACAAATACCCCTTTGAAAATTAACGCAAATTTTTTCTTGAACCGCCTTAGTTTGAAAAGACCACATCTGGAGCATCATGCGCCAGTGCTCTGGATTTTGTCGCATCATGTGCCAGTTTGGTGCATCTTGTGCTAAACCCCAAAGTTGGTTATTTGTTCTCCAAATTTTGGTCCTTTGCCATTTTGCTTAAATGCCTAAAAATGGTATGCCTACAACAAAAACACAAAAATACTTTTCTTTAAAGTGTAATATTAACAAAAATAAGGAGTATATTATTTTTGTGTATCATGGATACCTCCTAAGAAGATCTTTAAATTTTTCCCAAGCTTCATATATCAATTCCCCTTCAAACTGACAAAAGATGTAATATCATTTCAAAGCTTTGCAGTTTTCAAGGGTGGAAAATATTTAGCCAAAATTTTTGTGATAGATTTCCCCAAGCACTGATAGATCTAAGTGCTAACGAATTTAACCAAGCTTTAGCTTTGTCCCTTAGTGAAAAAGAAAAATTTTTAAGCTTGACAGCATTGTTAGACTCTCCATCTTATTTAAAAGTAGCACATATTTCTAGAAAATTAGCAAGATGTAAGTTAGAATTTTCAGTAGGTGTTCCTCCAAACTGATTATTTTGTACCATTTGGATAATTGTAGGTTTAAGCTAAAATGAATTAACAACAACATCAAGACTTTGAATAGTCAAGTGAAGTTCATCTGCTGTAGGATTAGCATAATCTCTTAAAGGTCTTTATCAATTTTTATTTTTATTTGTATGATTATCTAAGTTATTCACCATTTTGTACAAATTTCTAATTTTTTTTGTTGTTTTTGAATTTTTCTAATAGTAAGTTCTAACACTTAATCATAAGGAACTATACCTTCAGATCCAATACTACACATCAAAAAATATAGTAAGGAATAGTAAAAATTCTTTAAAATACTCCTAAATTTCTCTTAAAAATTTTATTTAGGATTTATATTTTTATGAATTTTTGTTGAATTTTTTTTATTGTTTTTTAATTATATTTATATATATATATATACATACATACAATTAAATTCATATATTTATACATCAACCTATAGTTTGATATATATATTTATAACATTTTGATATAATAAATCAATATATGAAAAGAAGTATTTTAATTATGAAGATATTTTTGAAGTGTTATTAAAATTATTAGTAATATAAATGTAGTTATGAAAGTTTTGATATTAGATATGTAAATACATATAAATTGCGTGGTTTGTGTGAAAATGCCCCCAAAAATTAAATTAATTTATTATTATTTATATTCAATAATAACGCAAATCAAATAAATTTGCCTGTGCCCCCCTTGCTTCCTACGCACTGCAAACCCTAGAATCGACTGCGAGAGATTGGGGCAAAGCGAAGGAGATGGCGAAGTCTATGAGGTCGAAGCGAAAGAAGAGGCTGAGGTCTTTGAGGAGGGAGATCGCCGAGCCCTTCTACGAGAAGAAAGAGGCTGCCAAGCTTGCTGCCCAGCAAGCTGCTCTTGAAGCCCCCAAGCTTCCTGTACGCGTTCACAAGAATGACTCCGAGGCCGATGTGCCAGCCGAACCGTCCACTGCCATGGGTTAGCTCCATCTTTCCACTTATTTTGATCTATGTTTACACCCGGGTGATATCTATGGCATCTATCTTGAATCCTCACAATATACAGCTTCTTAGTTTGTCTCTTATGCAGCTACGCGCTGTTCAAATTTCTGTCATTGTTTCGTCGGTTTTTAACTTGATTCCATTTTCACTCCAGGGCTGATTTGTTTTCTTGAAGTTAGAAAATGTTTTGAAACTGATGAATTTCCTGGACCCTATAATTTGGATGGACGTTAATTTTGAAATAAATTTGGGGTTTACACTTTGAAAATAGCTTCTATATCAGTCAACAGCTAGGATTTCACAGATACACAATTTCTAAAACATTTTTTCTATGCATAGGCAGCCAAACAAGGCGTTAACTATAGATATATATATATATATATATTACTTTATAGCTAAATTCCTTAATTTACCTAATTTATCAAATTTATTTAATTTACCGTTACCTTCCCCGACAACGACGCCAAAAACTTGATCCTGAAATTATAGATGTGTAAAATTGATAAAGTTGACTCCACTTTGCAATAGTTTCAAAACTTGATTCGTTATTGATGAATAAGAACTTGAAGCAATTAATGTTGGGATTCTACATAAGTATACATATTATTATGATGTAATACAGTACTTTATGATTAAGCCCTAAATGTCGATCCCATGAGGAAGGTGTAAATTTGTAAAAAAGATTAAAATAAGGAAATTTGTAATGATAAAGAAAATCTACTAAACTAATTTCAAATGTTTAGTGTGCTATCATAACTAAATTACCAACTACTAGCGAAACTGTAAAACCAAGCTAAGCAATTTCTACTAAACTATCTTTATATTTTTGTGATAAAGTTATGAAATATGAAATAACATATTTCCTACTATAATGAGTTTTTGGTTAAATGAGAGAGGTAAATTGTTTGAATTAGTATTGTGCCAATACGAGCAGTTTTAATTCTCTACCCTTAGTCAACTTCTATAGAGAATTGTTCCTAATGTTAGGTTTAGTCTGTAAATACGTGGTTAGGCTCGGAGGATACTGGCTCTCACTCTAAAGCTCCCACTTTCCTTCCCCTGAAGTTTAACTCTTGCTTTAGTTCTTAAACACTAAGACCAAATTTGGGATTTTAGTCTGTCACCCTAAAATCTTCAATTCTTCGACCGGTAATGTATAATTCCCTATTTATTTGCACCCAATTTCATGAACGAAACACTCCTTCATGGAATCAAATGTGACTCTCACTTTGTTGTAGAATTCATACTTCATTTCTTTGATCTTATGTTTCACAACAAATTTTAATATTTTAATTGGCCAGATCGAAAAATAAATTAAGAACGGAGTGAAAAAAGTCATCACAGTTTTTTTTATATTTTAAAATGGTACATCCAATTATTTTTTTATTTCATCATAACTCATAGTAGTGAGAAAGACAAAGAAGACTACTCAAAAATCATGAGAAAGATAAAACAAAACACAAATTTTATAAATAAAACAAAGTTTATACAAAAAAATAAACAAATGCCACTTATCTGCAACTCTTCCTCAAAACAAATCCCTTGAAGCTCCTCTTGAGTCTCTTTCTCTCTTTACAAGACTCTTGATTCTCTTTTAGAAGATGTGTCGGCGCTATTTTTAGTTTTGATGGGGATGCCTGTAAGAAGCTGTTAGTCACCGGATCTGAAATCTCGTTGTCCGCTTCGGAAGGATGTTTTAATTTACATATATATTTAGTTTTAGAAAAATATGAAAGCAAACTGATCTCATATTTTTCATAGTTTAATTGAAAGAGCATTGAACCTCGAATCCTGTATCTATCCCGAATGACAAACACAAGATTTGAGGATGAGGCTCGATCAAATAAACTAAGAAATATATGATATTCATTTGGTCTGCAAAACCTTTATATTTGCCACAAGTTCCCCAATTTAATATAAAAAATTAAATAGGGTTTATATTAAGTTGGGTTCGGACATGCTTCCTATAAGGGCAAGCCCCTATAGTTAATTACATCTCAAATGACCAAAGTCACCTAAGAAGACTCGATAAAAATCAAGATATATTAACTTCAAGGAATTTCAAAGTGTAGGACTCTTCAATGAGATCGAACGTAGAGGTGTGAAAAGGGGATTGGTTCAAATCTGGAACATTTTGTTGTAGAGTCCAAAGGAGGAAGAACTAAGAGATTTCATGGATCTAGAGGTAAACCTTGGTGACTTCCCAAGCTATCCTAATGCTTGGCTTCAATTTTGAGGAGAAATATTTAAGTGTCTCATCCTGCAAACTTTATTAGTTAGGGCTTACGTTCGTGTGAAACGATCACACAAATAGCCTGGAAGATGTGAAGATTTAGGTCGTGACAAATGACAACCTCGGAATCCTAAGGAATCTAAGAATCTTAAGACGAGTTAGGGCTTATATTATATAGCAGGGCTATACAATGGCCTTAAGAAAAGGTGAGGGTTTACGTTGCATAAGAAAGCAACCTTGAAGTCCTATGGCTTTGTTATTTAAAACTAAGGAAGGAAGATTACTTTAGTTGGGGGAGAGAGGTTTTGTTATTGAAGATGGTCGTACTGCCCACCATGCTAGCTTCAGGCTCCCTGCCGTGACGAGTTTGAGTTTTCTAATGTGTCAAGTTATAATGTCAAATCAGAAGGCCCTATGGTTGAAGTTCTTTAAATTTTATGAGGGTATATTAAAGTTGATTAGAGCGACACCAGTTAGGATCCTATGGTTCCCTCATTTCGGCACCATTATTTTCTATTGGATTCACTTAATCCGAATGAACTTACTAAAATTGACTTAATGAGTTCCATAATTTCATTTAGACCGCGGGAAGCCTCGTTAGCAATCGTAGGTTACCTCCCCCGAGGGATTCCCGATCATCCGATAGAGACGTCTTAATTTAGTTACAATTGTAGTTTTATGTGATGTTTGTGATTAAATTTAGAGTTGTTTTATATTTTGAATGTTGTGGGGGTGAATTTTATCTTGGTTGATTTTAATTTTGGTTTTGGTTTTGGTTTTGTGGCTATCCTGATAGATTTAGTTTTCTATGTAAATTTTTATAAGCACAAAAGTATAACATAAAAGTATAAGAAAGTCAATGCTGCAAACTATAAAAGCGTACCTGGCGAGTCTTCTCGTTCCACCACCTGAAACTTAAAATGCATGTTAAGGCAGTTTATGGAGAGCAGGAAAAGTAAAGTTTTGGTAGTTTCCCTAACCCTATGTCATATTTTTGTGGGTCCTTAGGAGTGATTAAGGATGATTTTGTCAAACAAAACATATTAAGTTTAGTAGATCTTCAAGATATCCAATAGAACTAGAGGAAGAAGCGGGTCCGTGCTACTCTCTCGCTGCTTGGTGGAAAATCCTGAGTTCTTTTAAACTGATTATGTTGCTTAATAAGCTATCATGTAAATACCCTTATTACTCAGTGAACATTGATGTCTCAATTATCCCTAAGAATAGGGTAATTATCACTTGTGATTCAATTTAAGAATTATGTGGGTGAAGACCCTTAAAGAGGTAAGTTAGTGTCGTTGGAACACTTAGCCAAATTTTAACCCTAATTGCCTAATAACCCTAATTTGGGCTTGTAGTGTTTTAAAGGATGTTAATTTTAAATGATATTTACTTTTCTAATCCTCATTAATCCTCACTTAATTGAAACTTGGTTTAGCCTAAGTCACTACTAAGCCCTTAAGACCTAGGTGAGTGTCTTAATTAGCTTTGAAAAGATCTAGGTTTAGGTGATCATGATTCGTGATTTGAATTTTATTTGAAAATTAAATTAGGGGTATTAAATTGATTAATTATGAACTTCAAAACTCATACCCATAAGTCCTAGAATCATTTTATTTTAATAAACTTCCAAATTTTAATAATTTAGAAATTTATTAACTTATCTTTTTCAATTAAGAAGTGAGATTGAATTCTATCAATTAGTTTCTACCAATTAACCCGAGATTAGTTTCTATCAATTATCCCCCTTGTGTTTCAAACATCAAATAAATTGATTAAGATCAGAGGTTACCCATTTCCCTGATGTTAATTAAGGCTAAATTTAATTAAGGCTAAATTGTCCAAATTACACATTCGCCTCTAAGGCTCTATCACTTTATAATTTATTAAATTTAATCCAAATGAATATGGAATTTTTATCTTACCTCATTCATGGGACAATTAAGACATTAGAGGAGAAAATGTGATTTTTCAAAATTTAATTTTATTTATATGATTATTTTCATGCAAAAATAGGATTTTTCAAAGAAAATTCCTAACTTGACCAAGGTAAGTCCTAATCCCTTAAATTTTTTACTGGAGGTAACTTTAGACCAGAGAAGCCTTTGAACAAAATTTCATGATTTTTTTGAATTTTATTTAAATTATTACAATTATTTTAATTTCTAGGGTATTTATTAAATACAAAATATTTTAAAAGGAGAAAATTAAGTTTAGTATTTATGAAAAGTATCCCTGAGGTCAAAAAACTTAGAGGAGGAAATTTAATATTTTTCTAATTTTTATTTGATTTATTGGAATTATTTTAATGAAAACTCATTTTTAGCCTTTAAAAATTATTTTTAAGCTTTAAAATTCAATATCCTTATTTAGAAAATTAAGAAAAATATTCTAATTATTCCTAAGTATTTAGGAAGTCATTTAGAATATTTCAATGAGTTTTATTATTTTTTTGTTATTTTTAGGGATTTTTAATTATTTTAAATATTTAAAAATAGGCTTAAAGTGAAGTTTTTATTTTAAATATTATTTTATTTTTAGAAAATACCCCTGATCACAAAGAATTCAAAACAACTATGTTTCATAATTTTTTGAGTTGTATTTAAATTTTTAAAAATCATTTTGGTGCCAAAAATGTTATTTATCTTTAAAAATCGACTTAAGTTATTAATTGAACTCAAAATTTAATGAAATTTTTATAATGAGTTCTCTGGATCCTAAACCACAGTTGAAATAAAAAATCAAGTCATTTAAATGTTTGTATTTTCAAAAATTAATTATCTT